ACCATATACACAACACACACACACACACACACACACACACACACACACACACACACACATTCTGGTTGCATTGGTTCTTTACCTTTCTATTTAAACAGCAAGTTAAAAGTGTTTTCATTGACCTGGCAATCCCATTCTTAAAATCACTTTATAAGTTTCTGTACAACATCCTCTTAGAATTATAAGAGTTACATTTAATTTATGGATAATTCAGGGAAGACTGTTTTTTATAACACATTAAATTTATTTGCTTATTTTTATTTATTTCAACAGAATAATATAAGTTTATGCATACACGACATACTTATTTTCTTAGATGTATATTTAAGTATATTGCATTTGGTATTAGTGAGACTGGTACAATTAAATTTCAATTTCTAAATAGTCCATGCATATAAATGCTGTTGGTTTTCATGTGTTAATCCCCCTTTTCCCACTTGGTTGACTAAACATTCGTTCTGTGTTGCTGGCTGTTCTGCTGCATCGTTCAGACTTTCTACGAAGTCAGTGTTTCTGTGAATAGAGTTGGCCTCAGTTCTTCCTAATGGTTAGGCAGAATTGCTTACCTCACTGCTCTGGGAATGACTTCCAGCACAGCACCTTAAGGAGCAGTGAGAAAGGAGATCTACGCCTGGTTTGTAATGTTAGGGGAGAGGCTGTCATCATGACTAAGCATGTCAGCCAAGGGTGTTGCATAGACTTTCGTTAAGAAATTTTCTTCCTGTTTCTTGTTTACTAGCAAGTACACACACACACACACACACACACACACACACTGTATTGTATGTTTTACCTATATATACATATAATGAATATTAAACTGTCAAATGACTGTCACTATTATATTAATTACAAGGATTTTTTTCTGTTTTAATAGGTCCATATTGTAACTATTGACCTGTAATTTTCTTGCCATTTCTTTATCTTATTTTGGTATCAAGATAATGTTAGCCTCAAAAAAATGACTTGGCTAATAATCACAATGAAATAGACTCAGTGTCATTGGCTACCAGGATGCAAACCAAGATCGAACTCACATAGCACTTCACATCAGTTACAAAAACCAGAACAAAAAGAAATGATAGTGACTGGGTTATAATATAGAGGAGACTGTAGCTCTCAAAAATATGCCTTTAAGAATTTAAAATGGTTCAGTTTTTAAGTTATAGTCCTCAGGCCACAAAACCTCCCCCTCTGAACTATCCACTTCACTGTCTCAATACATTCATTGACCTGTTACAAGCAACAACTAAAGAAGTTGAAAGTCGTCTTAAGGCTAAGGTGAGTCATGAGATGAGCAGGTAATTCTATTGCCATATGATATCTGTGGAAACTGATAATGCATGTCCCCTAAAAGACTCACATGAATGCCCATCTCCTTGAAAGTTAATGCTCAAACAGCATAAACAATGTCTGCTAATATGTGACTTGATGATTAAAGTTTAGTATATTCATACATTTCAGGAATACTATTCAGGAATAAAAGGAAATGGCATATAGTTATATAAAATAACATCCAAGAACCTTGATAACATTGTAAGAAGTGAAAGAAGCTGGACGCAAAAGCCATAAATAACATTATTCCTATATAAAAAAGACAGCAACAGGCCAGTCTGTACCGATCATAAGCTGTGGTTGCCAGGGTGAGGAAGGGAAAAGTTCTGATGGAGATGAGCCACAACTGCTAGTATGTACAGGTTTCATTTGTAATTGATGAGAGTTTCTAAAAGTGCCTGTAACAGGTCAATAACTGTATTGAAATAGTGAAGAGGATACGTCAGAGGGGTAGGTTTTGTGTTCTGTAGACTATAGCTTAAAAAAAACCTCTTAAAATTGGTTGGAAATTGTTTTATCCTTGTAGCTAGAGTTTTCCTGCCTTGCCCACAGTCAGGACAAATCTTTGTCACCCTCCAGTCCCACAGCCGCTCAGACCCAACCAAGTAAACACAGAGACTTATATTGCATACAAACTGTATGGCCGTGGCAGGCTTCTTGCTAACTGTTCTTATAGCTTAAATTAATCCATTTCCATAAATCTATACCTTGCCACGTGGCTGGTGGCTTACCGGCGACTTCACATGCTGCTGGTCATGGCGGCGGCTGCAGTGTCTCTCCACCTCAGCCTTCCGCTTCCCACAATTCTCCTCTCTCCTTGTCCCACCTACTTCCTGCCTGGCCACTGGCCAACCAGTGTTTTATTTATTGACCAATCAGAGCAATTTGACATATAGACCGTCCCGCAACATATCCTCTTATATATTATGAATGAGTTGTAGCTCTTTTATTATTTGCTTGTTCAGTGTTTAAACATTTTATTGCTGAAGACCTCCTACATGCCAGGGAAGTGCCGCACCATTGTGCTCTATCATAGGCCCTTGGGGTGTCATTCTTCTTGCTTTGGGTTTTTATTTTTCACTCATTTGAGACAGACAAAGTAGCTCACATTGATTTTGAACTTACCAGCAGGCTAATGTGGCCTCAAACCCATGAAATTTATGTCTTGGCCTTTCAAGTGCTGGAATTATAGGCATGTATCATCATGGATGAAGTTTTTCAAGTATATGTTTAATTTCTTAATAGACATAGAAAACTCAGAATAATTCTTCTTATTCTCCTCCTCCTCCCCCCTCCTCAACCTCTTCTTTGTGTGTGCACCTGCATATCTGTTTGCATGTGTGTAGGGATACACATGAGTATGGAGGTCTGCACATACGCATTCAGAGGCCAGAGGACAACTTCTAACATCGCTCATCAGGGGCTGTCCACCTTGTCTTTTGAAAGATCTGATTGGACTAGAGCTCACCAAGTTTCTAGGCTGACTGGCTATCAAGTCTCAGGAATCTTCTTCCCTTGTGCTGAGACTGTAGTTGGTACCACCATACCCATATTTTTTATGTGGCTTCTAAACATCGAATTCATGTCTTTACCCTGGACCCTCTGAGCTATCTTTCCATCCTGTCTATTGTTTCTTCAATGATCGTTACTCATTTTTGTTTCAAGGGCACTGTCTGTTTGACCTAAATTAAGTCCTGATATTCCTACCTCAGTACCTCATCTTCAGTCTCTCTCTCTCTCTCCTCTTTCTTCCACTTCCCAGTCTCTTCCTCCCCCTTTTCCTCTTTCTTTCTCTCCCTATCTCCTTCCCTGACTGTCTCCCTCCTTCACCTTGAAAAACTGATCTGTCAGTTTTAGGGATATTTTGGAATCAGATTCTGATTCATTGGTTGTCCTTTTCTAAATTTAACTGATATATGTTCTTTCTCTCGTAGATCTCTTATTTTAAATTACTCACTTTTAAGTATCTACCTGTCTGTCTGTCTGTCTATGTATGTATGTATATACATGTCTGCATGGGTAGTGCACAGAGTGCAGATGCCTTTGGAGGCCAGAGGTGTCCAAACCTCTGGGCATGAGTCACAGGTGATTGTGAACCAACCAACCTGGGTTCTAAGAACTGAACTGGGGTCCTCCACATGAGTAGTTTGCTCTCTCAACTGCTGAGCCATCTCTCCAGATTCTAGGTTCTTTTTCTTTATTATTTTAATTATTCTACTTATTTTTAGCTAAATTCACAGTCTCCCCTCTAGTTTCTTAAGGCAGAAGTAAGATCATTGATTTTCCACACTGCTATTGGAAGTGTTTAATACCATAAATTTCCCTCCATGCACTGCTTTTACTGCCATCCACAAGTTGTCATTTGGCATATCATTATTCCATTTAAAACGGTCTTTTAGTCTTTATTGAGGCAACATTTTTGACCCAGTCTTAAGTAGAACTTTTAAATTTTGTTTCCAAGCATTTTGAGATCTTTGATATAAGTGATAATTTGATTTCTAGTTTGATAGATTCCATTGTAGGGGGAAAAAATCTCTCTTTTTATTACTTCAATTCTGATAATTTTGTTAATGTCATTTCATGATCCAATAGTCTATCTTGATTAACATTCCCTTTGCACATGTAAGAAGTATGTATCACTATATGGGATTTTTTTAAGATTTATATTTATTTATTTATTTATTTTTTGAGACAGGGTTTCTCTGTGTAGCTTTGGAGCCTGTCCTGGAACTCACTCTGTAGACCAGGCTGGCCTCCAACTCACAGAGATCCACCTGCTTCTGCCTCCCGAGTGCTGGGATTTTAACTAGGTGTGTGTGTGTGTGTGTGTGTGTGTGTGTGTGTGTGTGTGTGTGTGTAGAAGTGTGCATGTCACTGGAATTGTGAGCCATCTGACATAGGACTTGACAATTCCTTTTTTTAAGTTTTAAAATTCTCTTTCACAAATGGATTCTTCTCTCATATAATATATCCCAACCACAGGTTCCCTTCCCTCTATTCACCCAGCTCCTCCTTCCAGTCTTCTCTTTCCCCCAGATACACTCCCCCTTTGTTTTCTCTTTAGAACAGAGCAGGCCTCCAAGAGACAACAGCCAAACAGGACAAAACAAGATATAATAAAGCCAGGCAAAAGTCCTCATATCGAGACTGAGCAAGGCAACCCAATAGGAGGAAAAGAGTCCCCAATGTAGGTAAAAGAATCAGAGATACACCCACACCCACTGTTAGGAGTCCCACCAAAATTCAGGCTAACAGCCATAACATAATCTCAGAGGACCTGGTACAGACCCATGCAGGCCCGTGCTTGCCATTTCAGTCTCTATGAGCCCATGTGAACTCTGCTTAGTTGATTTGATGGGCCCTGTTCTCCTGGTACCCTCCATCTCCTCTGGCTTCTATAGTCTTTTCCTCCCCCTCTTCCATGTGGTTCCCCAATCTACAAGGGGAGGGACCCAATGGAGACCTCTAATTTAGACTCTTTCTCCTCCTAATGTCTGGTTGTGGGTCTCTGCGCCTGCTCCCTGCTGCTGGAGGAAGCCTCTCTAGTGATGACTGTTCATTGGCAAGAACAATATCCACATAACTCATTGAACAAAGAGAGGTTGAATGTGTGCCTACAGAAATTGACAATTCTTACATTTTTTACAAGTATAGTATTCATTTGACTGTGCAGTTTACTCTCTTGAGTGCCACATGTGTGCCACAGAGTGCATGTGGTGGTTCAGAGGACAATGAACAGGAATCAGTTCTCTCCTTCCATCATGTGTGGCCTGGGGGCAGCAGATGACTTTACCTTCTAAGTCACCTCACTGACCCTATCACTAAAGTTAAATCACACTCCATTCTGAATACCATGATGGTGAAATCCCACATCATGCTACAACCCACTTGGAATGAGAATGGACGGGTTACAACCTTTCAGTCACTTAGGCTGACTGTATTATCAGATCAAGTGCCACTTGGTCCACAGCACTTCTGTTCAAGTAAACCTTACTTTACTTTGTAATGGTCCAGAGGGCAAGAGAAGCATGCTGTCAGTTCAGCTGAGCTACAGAGAAGCCACCTCTAAGTGTGAAGCCTCAATAAGGAAGGAAACTGTACGCTGAGATCAATATATTTCATTAACATTATCGTGCATGTTGTTAGAAATTGTCTCTATCATTAGTTATCAGGAGTTACGTGCCTCTTACTATGTTTGATTGGTGAATTAAACTGTATCATAAAAATGTATGGATGTTAGAACGTTATGTATAGAGTGTGATACTGTCTATAGTTTTGTATATCCATTGGGGTCATGCAAACCATAAAAAAAAAAAAAGAGTATGGTTCTAGTAACTCTTCTGCATTCTTCTTGATGTTATGATCTGTGAATCACTGGGAAACTTGGGCTGTCATTAGCTGTTACGTTTTGCCCCATAGGTGTTGTAAATCTGTTGTCATTTGTATAAACCAATCATACAATGTTTTCTTAGTTAATTAACTCTGTAGTTTTGTAATGCCTCTCCATGCCTTTGAATACTATTTGCTCTGAATACTATGTGTTTTGATACTAACATAAACAATATGGGTTTCTTTTAATTAGTGACTGAAGCTACATCTTTTTGTATTTTTTAAAACTTTTAGCATTCATTTATTTATTGGAGGTGTGTGTGTGAATTACATAGGGCATGTGAAGGTCTGAAGGTATCATATGAGAGTTATTCCATCATGTGGGTACTGGGGATTGAACTTAGGTCATTATGCTTAGTAGCAAGTTTCCTTATCCACTTAACCATCTTATTGACTTTTCTTGCTTTTACTTAACGTAATTATTAATACATTAATATATTAATATTAATTCTTTTGTTTTCACATCCTTTTTACCTACTTTCATATTTCACATTTTTGTAATGATAATTTAGTGCCCTGGTTTTCAATATTCAAGAAAAATTACTATTTTCTGTAATTAATTTGGCAAATACACAAACACATATATTCACACTTATATGTGGAGAGAGTGGAGAAAGAGACAGAGAAGGGAAGAGAGAAAGAGACAGAGAGACAGAGAGAGGACACACTGGAGAGGAGACTAAGGGGGTAGCTATCTGATAGAATTAGTGTTTATTGTGCCTGAGGTCCTGAGTTCAGTTCCTAGAAAGATGATAGATATATATGCATGTACATCTGTCTCTCACACTCCATCCCATTTGTCCAAGTGAGCTATGACAAAATTCGTCTTCTGGAATGTCACCTCCACCCTCTGCCATGTTTTAGTTACTAGCAAAACAAAAGCCACTGAACACCTAACCACCTTATTTGTTTATACTGGAACCTTTAGCTCAAGCCTTGAATCTCATTCCAATGGGCGTCTGAAACCAGCTCTGGAGTTAATTGTTATTCACACATTTAACAGGCACCCACTGGACACTCAATGTATTTATTCAACTTGCCAGTCATTGCCAAGTATTCAAGACAAAGGGTATTCAAGGATAAATAAAGCATGGCTCATTCTTGAGGCACCTGTAGCTTAATTGGTGTGGCAGATATATAAGCAATAACTCATGATTCAATACAGTATATGTTATCATGAAGGTGTGTGCACAGTGAGCTGACAGAAGAAGTGATTGATTTGTCATGGATTAGATCAGTGACGTGATCACAATTTCTTTAAGAAGGATGCAATATTTAAACAATGAGTTGGTGGGAACTGGTTATTTCTAAGCAGAATATACAGAATGATAAGCATGTAACACCACGTGGGGAGGGTGCTTCTGGTAAGATAATAGAGGGAGTGACATGCTGGAAGAGATCAAAAGGTAATAATCATGGTCAGAGAGTGCTGAAGTGTTATAGCATTTATTAGAAATACACCATGCCAAGGTCTTCATAGCATAATCTCAGCTATACCTATAAAATTTGTATGAAGCTGATACTCCGATTGCCTTCTTGCTGGAAATGGAGACACGAAGTTAGAGACCATAAGCTACTTGCCAAATCAAAACTCAGGAACTCAGAGAATGCTAAGTGATTTAGGAAGTAGGGTATGGACACCAACCCAGAATGTACACTGGATGTAAACAACCAGTGTGTACATTCCAGTACATGCCAGACAAATTCTCCCTCTGGTAAAGTCACAAATTGATTGGAGGCCCTCTGGCTGTGCTTTAGGAATTATTCTACTATATTCCTGAGAGGAAGCGTCAAACGGCAAATGTGGATGATACATTGAGAGGTCTTATCTGCATGTAAGGATCCACAGTATTAGGTGAGGGAGGTGACAGAGGGTGTAAACATAATTATTGTTTTAGAAATTAAAAAATTGCAGCAATGTGGAGGGTGACCTGGAGTGGGGACTGTCACAAAATAGAAGCCTTTGGCTGCTCTCACTGTGTAACGAGATAAAGTTTCAGGGGTAACATTTCCTGTGGACACAGGAGAAACCATTTTAAGAATATCTGGAAAGAGAATCCACAGGACTTTGTTCAGAAAAATTGGTTCTTGGATGATAAAGAGCTCAAGAAATTTCGCATTTCTAAGTAGTAATGGGATGGTTGACAGTGTGCTTTTTAAAATTCTGGTTGGGAAACAGCAGGATACTAACAACAGGCTGGGTTTTTAATATTTAGTGAACTTTTTTATTCCCTACCTGGAAACATGTCTTGCTCTCTACTTCCTCCCCCCTCCTCTTTCTTCATCCTTTCTTTTTTCATTCACCTTTGCAGAGTAACTGAAGCACATTTGAGAATTCAGTCAGCTCGCTTTAATTGTTGTTTCTGATGTGATCACTCCAGAATCTGAGAGCTAATTCCTAGAATCAGGCTCTATTCCTCCAGGAACCTCTGCCTGTGTGTGCTTCATTCCTTCTGCCTAAAGTGTCTTCTCTATACCTTGCTGGCATAGCCAACACTCATATAATTACCTTCCAACACCCAAATGACCCTCCATGACCCTTCACACACCCTGCTGATGCCCTGTAAGAATCTGTCACAACTCCATTAGCATCTGTCTCTGCTGTAGACAGCTATTGGAATTATTTGGTTACGAGTGTGTCTCCTTAAGCAAAACAGGATTAGTGTTATGTATTTTCCAATGCTAAGCAGAATACATGGCAAATACTACAAGCTCAGAAATGCACACTGAATGAAGAATTAATAAATGCATCTATGTCATGAGAATTAGCTATGTGACAAGTTACAGACAGAAAGGTCTTACAGTGACAGAGTGCTGGCACTCCTCAGCCACTGAGAATGAGAGTCTCCCCTGCACGGTAAACATCCCTTCCAGGCCAGGTCTTGAACCTCAGCTGAATTAGAGCTGGAATAAGAGAGGGTCCTTGTGACTTCTAGATGAGGAATAAGGAGGCAAATATATTTTAGGTAGGATTCTCTTAGGGAATGCTCAGAGGAAAACACACTCCAGGAATTCAATTAAAGAGCATCTAGTGCCATGCATGATTTGGGCTTCGCACACACTATTTATTTTTTATGTACTATTCCTTCATCATGTACTTGACTCCCTTTTGTCCTCAATGTAACTCCATGATTTTTATGTATGAAAACATGTATGAGGGCATAGCCAAGCACAGTTACTAGATTCCACAAATAAGTATAGCATTTCCCTATTAAATTTCAGTGTTGGCTAAAAGAATAAAATCAGTTTTAGCTCAAAAAATAAGTAATTTGAATATAGCTCTATTCTGTGAAATATCTGAGATATACTTCCTATTGCTTATTTGAACTTCAGTGGAATTAGGTATCATGTGTGTCATCTTTAAGCTTTGTCTCCTGTTTGCCTTGTGCCAAGAATTAAGAAGGCACTACAGGCATTGAACATTCTATATATCAAACCGAGATCAAGCTATCATGGGTGCAGAAGAGCAGTAATTCCTCCAGAAGCCAATAAGTACTGAAGAGGTCAATGCAAGGAACTAAGCAGATGCAAATAAATTAGTGAACTGGGCTGTAGACTACAGTGCCCTTTGCTTGATCCAGGTGCTTTACCAGGGCAGCTCGGTGGCGGTCAGTGCAATATAATGTCCTGCTTACTAGCAGATTCTTGGGAGTCACACAGTCTTGGGTCCTATCCCCTGTTCTGTCTCACACAGAATTTGTAACCTTTGACAAACTACCTAATCTTTCTAAACTTGTATTCCATTATATCAAACAAGATAATAACGGCAGCTTCGGGCTGCTCTGTTTATGTGTTGTATCTCATTTGTCATGTGACCAGAGTATTCTATTAGTAATAGTAGTCTTAATCTCAATGTTTCTTGCATGGTTAAGTGTTACATCTTTCTTGGGACAATCCAAGGGAACAGGATGGGAAAGGGTGGGATGGGATCATATGAAGTGGAATATAAGGGAAGGGAACACAGAAGAGAAGAAAGAAGGGTGGAGAGGAGAGGAGGGAAGGGATGTTAAGAGGAGGTTGAGGGGAGAGAAGTCGGAGGGAGGAGAGAGAAGAATATTTCCATCATTTATTTTCCCTTAGTGTGTACAAGGCAGTGTGCCACCTGCTCACATATATTTTCCTGTTGAGTCTACAAACAATCACAAGAAAAATAAATGTTCTTTTTTTTTTCAGACATTTGGATCGAAGGTACGGAGAAATTGAGGAATATGTCAATGTTCGTAGGAGCCAAAGCATAGTTCTTTCATTTGCATACTTGCTAACCAAGTTAGAGATATGTTTTAGAAAAAAATCCACTGCTTCCTTTTACCAGCATGGGTAAAACCCTCTTTCATTTTCTCTTTATCTAAGTCAAGTTCATTTGCGTATGCCTGTGACTGACAAGACATAGCCAGTTAACTGCTATTAGCCTGACATGCATGAAAGGCTCCATGCAGGTGATCAGACATTTCATCATTGCTATTTAATGTACTATGGAGACACGGGCCAGAAAACATTATGTTCTGATTTTACAGATAAGGAATCTGGAGCTCAGAGTGGCAGCAGATGCTCTCACACAGATACTGCCTGGCAGAGCTACCCGAGGCATCCAGTTTAGGTCTGTTCTCAAAAATATCCACTACTTCATTTATTCATTGCACATGTATTAGTTATCATCTACACATAGACATGGTGCTAGCAATCTGATACTTATGACAATGCCATGTTCTTGCTACCCAACCCGTAAAAGCAGTTCACTCAGGGTTTTTACCTGATCCATGTCATTGAACGCCCAGGAAGCCAGCAGAATTCTATCATAAATCACACTGTCTAAAGCTTTTTGCTTTCCTGTGGTGCATTAGAAAAACATGCCCTTCTGGAATGTTCTCAAAAGTTATTGCTTTTCCAGCAAACAGCCACATGCCAGAATCCATGACATGGTTTATGGACTATTCAAAAGGTAGTCACTGGACTGTCTTTTCTCCAATGACCCACAATATAAGCACAGTGCCACATCATAAGCAGTGTACCAGATGGCATAAAACTAGCTTGATGAATTTTCTGATGAGTGAGACTTTCTGAAGACCAACCTCTCTTTAAGGAGATCAATGTCAGGTCTTTGGAAGAAATGGATTGTAAAACCTTGACAGTATGTATTTATTTTTATTGAAAATTTTATTTGTAGATCGATAATTAGAAAAAGACGGAAGATAGATAACAGATTAGATAGATAGATGGATAGATAGATAGATAGATAGATAGATAGATAGATAGATAGATCGATCCACGGAATGAAGGAAGATAAATCAATTAAAGTCATTAACTCTTGGGCAATGAAATTAAGGGTTCTAAGGGCAATTAATGAAGGAAGAAGTTACAGCAGAAGTAATGTATGATAGATATCATAGCAATTACATAGAATGTGGGCATTCAGACCTAAGCTTGCAAAATAAATTGCAATGCCCCAGGGAAAGAAGATAGAAAAGTTATCCCAGCAACAAGAAAGAGTATGAGCAAAGGACCATGATCTGAGAGGGCATACCCACCTGTGAATTAGAAGTCAACTCTAAGCATGGAGAGAGACATTGATCTATATGTTTATTTTCATGCCAGTAGGAGGCTGAATTCATCAGCTACTTAGTATAACTTGAAGTCTGGTACTGTGATAATTCCAGCAATATTCATTCTTCTTAATAGAAGCTGTTTGTAATTGATAGCTTCTGGGAATGGGAAAATTCATTTTCTTCAATGGAGTGACAGTGGGTATATCAACCACACTCCAGGGCCAACCCCCTTGCTCAGGAGCAATCAGCCAGCAAAAATTGGACATCATGCTTTTTTTGTCTGATTGTTTCTCTTTATTCAAGAAGGAGAAAGACAATGAAATTGAATGGGTATGGATGTGGGGGAGGATCTGGGAGCAGTTGGGTTGGGGAAAGAATGTGATGAAAATATATCCTATGAAATTCTCAAATAAATAAAATCATTACTTAAAAAATAAACAATAAATTTAAAATACATTGTCTTTGCGTGGTCTTTTCTATTTCCAAATAAATTTTTGCATTGTTTTCGTCTAGTTCTGTGAGGAAACTCATTGGAATTTTGGAGGGAACCGAGTCGTATCTTTAGCATGTTCAAGGAACAGTACTGGGAAAACCAGCTATCTACAAACTTCGATCCACATCACTCACCCTGTACAAAAAAAATATCAATTCAAATGGATCAAGTACATGAATTTAAAACCCAAAATGCTGATGCTCCCAGCCAAAAATACAGGGAACATACTTGAAGTTATAGATACAGGCAAGAACTTTCTGAACTAGACTTCAATAGCATAGAAAATATCCCTAAGTATCGACGATGGGACTAGGTGAGATTAAAATGTTTCTGCACAGCAAGGAAACTATGGTCAACCATTTTACCAGTGACATCTCAGAGATGAAACTGGTATCCAGAACAAATAAAGAATAGCAAAAATTAAACACCTAAACCACAAACTGTCATTTGGTAAGTGTGCTGATGAACAGACAGTCCTGAAAAGATGAAACACAAAAGCCAACAAATATATATTTCAAAAGTTCAATGCTCTTAACCATAAGGCAATATAAATTAAAATATCTTTGATATTCCATCTCACCCCAATCAATTTGGCTATGACTAGGACAACAATCGACAACAAGGATCAATATGAATATGGAGAAAGAGAAAACCTTTACTCACTGTTGGTGGGAGTATAAACTAATGCAGCCAATCTGGAGGTTCCTCCAAAACAATTCCAAGTAGAACTACTGTGTGGCTTAGCTGTACTATTCTTGGGTATATACTCACAGGACTACATATGCTACCACAGAAGTATGTGTACATTCATGTTCACTGCTGCTGCACTATTCACAATATCTAGGAAACAGATGTCCATCCACAGAAGCCTGAATATTGAAATGTAGCCTGCTAAAAAAAATGAAATTGTGAGGTTTCTGGATGGAGAAATTTTGAGGTTTCTGGAAGGAGAATATTATATCAATAAGGTACTCTAGTCTCAGAAAGACAATATTCACATGTTTTGTCTTATAAGGAAATCTAAACTTTTAATGTTTACATCAATGTAAAGCAGCAGTTGTGGGGGTAGGGTAAACTATGAAACTAGACAGGAGCCCTGAGAAAGAAACAAGAAGTAACAAGAAAGCAGGATAAAGGCAAAAGATCACATGTGACTTGAAAATTGATAGAAGGCTATTAGGCTAGAACAAGGGAGAATGGAGGGATAGAGAAGAGGTCAAAAGAAATGACAAAGGCAAATTTTGTTTGAAAAAGGCCTAAATAGAACCCGATTCTTTGTAAACTACTGAAAATTTTTAAAAAGAAATTGCTCTGATTTTGAAAGATAGGGCAGAGCCTATTGTTGGAGATCTCAGAGCAAGCTGTTCAGACATCTTGTGCAACAGCCTAAATTCCACAGCAGATGACGTCACCACAACTGTCCTATAAATGGAGCAAAGATTCAGGTGCATCTAAGCGATTTATCTGCACCAATACCCAGGTCGACAGGAATGGCTGTCTCGGTTCTTCGGCTGATGGTTGTCCTGGGACTGTGTGCCCTAATCCTGACAAGCCAGGCAGGTAAGTGTTTCAGATCACAGCCCAGAAACTTTGCTATAGTTAGCAGTAATGGGTGGAAGTTGGCACAGAATATGAAGGGGAGGGGCATTTTGGCATTGCTGAAAGAACATTTGGCAGGGAGGTTGGAAACACATGCAATACAAAGAGCAGTTGTATTAAGATTGATTTTGGTTGTATCCTGCATCCTCAGTAAATTATGAAGTTTGGAATGAATCCTTTCCTATATTCTTAAATGATGAAGTGACACTATTACATTATAAATTCACTGAGGGGTGTCAGTGGGGTGATTTGATGATTATAACTAATAATGTTTAATGATGACAAAGATATAATTTTCAGTAGCACCCTATTGTGGTTCTACCACTAAAGAGAAATGTATAATCGGACAGGACATTTGAAATCTCTAGATGTGATACAAATAAAGGACATTAACTGCTAACAGTCTCACAAATGTATCATGAAATTTAAACAAAAGAGGCAACAGTCTGGAATAGTGTCTGCTCAATAAAAAAAATCACTAAATAAATAGTAAATGTTATTGTTATTATGTATAAATTATTTTTAAGTCTATTAGAGTTTAAAAGAAAAACACACCCCAGGTAATTTGTATATCTCAGCATATATATGTGTGGTGTGGGGTGTGTGTGTGTGTGTGTGTGTGTGTGTGTGTGTGTGTGTGTGTGAATATCTCAGTTTGTATATCTTAGCTAAGGAAAAATAAGTAATGTTATTTAGGTTACCAGTGTGGAGATCAGCTACATGGTGGCTGGCAGACACAGGGCAGGGAGGCAGCTTAAGAAAAGAAGTTAAGAAAGCCCAAAATATCAGAAAAACACAAAGACATGGAAAGGTGCATGCTTAATATAGAGATAGAAGAAGATGAAAAGTTATGCTTTCTGAGTACTTCACACAATCAGTCCAACTCACCAAGCTGCCTGCCTGTAACCTGCTGGGGGTGGGAATTCTGAGAGGAACAAGTACAGTGCCATTAAAGTAAACTTATTCCACCTATCTCTTTGGCATAGATTAAGGTGAACTCACCTTCCTTCTTTGGAAGGGGTGGTCCCTTAGCCAGGTGGTTGGTGTGGCACAAATAGAAATATTGGGTCTCCACCCAGTCCAGAAATTCTGTTCTCTTAACCAAAAGTGTCTTACATTAATGGACCTTTATTGCTACTCCCTACTAACCTAAGAATCATTAGGAACCATATCAGGGATCAGAGACTCCCAAACAGTTCTGGCATCTTTGGCCTCTGCTAAAGATGAGGTTGCTAAGAAACCCAAATACATTTCTTGGTTTTAGCAGAGAAAGAACTGAGTACTTCTAGGTTTTTGTGTTGTTGTTGTTGTTATTTAATCTTAAATTACTTAGCCAATTTCTACCCCCTGTTCTCATTATTCATGCTATAGAAGACCTCTAACTCAAATCCTTTATGGAAGTGTGGCAATGATCAATCTGGCTTCTTATTGCTGAAAGAGGTTGTTGGTCATAGTAGTTGGGGGACCACTTCAGTGGGTCTATTTAAAAAACCCCAAGCGAGCATTGGTAATTTCAATAAAGCCATGTTTAGAGAGGAAAGGAAGTCCTTGATTAGTTCCCAGAAAGACCTGTGAGAGAGAACACAAGAGGAATTAGCATTGCAAACCTTAGACAAAGAATCAGGAGAAGCCAATACTTTTAAAATACCCAAACCAAAGCCCACTAGAATATCTTGATGGTCTCACCAGAGTATGCATCTATTGGTCTGGTCCTTGTTTTCCATTTTTCTTTTGGTCTTTGGATTGGACTAAAGTGTAATGAACTCAGGATTTGCTATCAAGTACTTCAGTTAACTGAGTGGCTAGAAGGACAGTGTGAAGTTCCTCCCAGATAGTTTCTAGAGTAGGAGAGAAAAATAAGATACTTAATCATCCTGTGTTTTTCAGTTGAAGACAACAGTGGAGGAATCCCACCTCTCTTGGCTGCAAGTAGACAGTTCAGTGTTAAAATTGAACCAACATCCTGATATCTTCTATCTTGGGTGACATTTTCCTTACAAAGAAGAAAAACATTAGAGAGACCTGATTGTCTAAGTAGCATCTCATATACACTTAAGCGTAATGTCTTTGAGTATAATTCGGTATGCAGTCAACCAACATGCATCTTAACTTTAGCTGTACTTTTTTGTCAGGTGTATAAGACCAAGCAGATATTCAAACTTAATCATTTTCATTTTGTTTCAAGGCCAGTCGAGGTTCTGATCTTCAGGGATCTCTGAGGATTGCAAGGAATCCCTGGCTCCTTTGGCCTCCCTTTTATCATTTGTCCCACCTTCTGAGAAAAAGTCAAAGGCCTTGATTGTCCTTGCCTTCACTTGGAAGCACTAAGGTCATTTTTCCTTCGGTGTTGATCCTTCTGTTTGTAGACTAGAAAGGCCCATCCAATGTCGTCTCCATGGCCTCCTTGAACAAGAAGACAAGTGGCTCGTCAGAGCTACAGGTCATTTGTAGAGACAGGCCAGGGGCCTAGTTGACCTGGAAGGGCAAGTGGCAAAATATTGTCTCTTTAAATCCCTCTGTACACATGACTGCCACATTAGGTCACTGAACATGCAGAAGGTCAGTTACACCAGCTTGGTATTTTTAACCACTATGTAATGTTTAGATAAAACATAACCAAAAACAAAACATTTAAATAAACCTTCATTAGACATATGTTTTTGTTCTTTTAAGACAGTATTTGTAACTAATACCAAGAAAGCAGATTAATAAGAGAACCTCACTGATTTAAATAGAAGTTTGACATCAAATATATATATATATATATATATATATATATATATATATATATATATATATATATTCTAAGTTTTATCCTTTACATACCTTTAGTGATTTACCCAGATCCTCCATAACTTATTTAGTCTTTCTGGTTTTCTTTCTTATTCTGGAATCATATATAATTGTAATAGACTCTCATAATAATCCCACTAAGTAAACATGCCATTCTCTCATTTTGTTTGATTGGTGCAAATTCAAGATTTGCAGGGGGAAGTTGTCTTCTTTATTTGTTTTGTTTTTTAGTATAGGCACAAGTGAAAGTTCTCTGATTGTGAAATCTGAGTTTCTAGGTTCTTCCCCTTGCAACTAAGCATGTGTTTCTTTTGTATCCCATGCAAGCACACAGGACTGCAAGCAGCATGCAGCATCCTCACTTAGGAATTTATCATTTTGTCTGCAGAAGCTGTGAATCCTTGAATTGTCTCTCTTTAGGGTGACGCAGAAAGCAGAGTGTGCAACCACTTAGCAACAGGTGCTTTTGCATGTAAGCCAGCAGATCTCACAGGCCCAGGTGACTCATGGTGTCATCGATAGAAAACACAGGTGATAGATGCAAAAGATGCAAAAGAACTATGCCAGAGGGGACATGGAATGTCTGTGCCCACTCTGCTTCTAAAGTCACCAACACAGGGATGTGAAGGGTGAGATTTGCATTCTATTCTAAAGACAGTTCTCATTCATCTCATAAACTGTGGAACTGGTTAAATAATCCAGTTTTGTGTTACTTTCCTTACCTATAAAATTACATAACTATTGATTTTACCAGATAAAATGAGCATGCTTTTATAATAACTTTGTAAAATGTAGAAATCTATATAAATTAAAATGTTGTGTTTTTTCAGAATTTTATAATCTCATTCAATTAAGAAATCCAGCTGAATACTTAATATAAATAAAGGTTACTCTGTATTATATTTTAAAAGAGGAAATATTTAATTATGGACCTTGATGATTTGAGATTCCTGGGTATTCCAATAGCATTTAAATTTTCATAATATTCTAAAATGCGAGAGAAAAATAGAGCTACTTATCACTGTGTTGCTGTTTTTGATAGTAATAGTAATAGTAACACAAACCAATTACTGTGAGCTTATCCTGAGTCTGATTCTGTGATGAGTGGTATATACACTACAGATATATATCTATTTACATATCATAAACAAAAAATATATACAATACTTTTCATCCTAGCAACATCACAATGAAGAAACTAAAAGACAGTGGTTAAATGTGATTTGCAAAAGTACGTGACTAATATTTTGATGAAAACAAAATCAGATTGTAGGACCTTAAACCATGGGTCATACCACTCACTAACACCTATGTCTATGCATATGGACCAAAGACTGAGACTAATTCCCAATTTCCCATATTCTAATCTCCAGCTCCTCCGATATTGAAAAGCTAGTACTTAGTATTACATTAAAAGTGAATAAAACTGTTATATGTTGCAAAAGAGGACTCTTGTTTTGTGCAGGGACTTTCTGCACTACACTTGGCTGGTATCCTCAGAGAACCAACCTATGGGGGTAGTGTAATACAACCTGAAGACCATATTCCCTGGAGTTAGACCGAGTTCAGAGTCATACACTGGCTCAGCTGAGTTTTACAGAGTGACTTTAGGTGAATCGTTGAATTTCCCAGAGCATCTGTGTTCTCCTCCGGAAACTGTGACTCCATCACTGAGTGGGATAAGGATACAGGTCTGTGAGGATGTACTAGTCCAGCACTGCATGGCAGGTACTCCACAAAAGCATCTGTTTCTTCTCACAATGAAAATAAGCCCATTCTGGGAACTTGGGTCACACAGACTTGTATGTGAGGGTCACCATCTTTAGTTTAACTCAAGTGAAAAGGTTCTGTACATGCTCTACTCTGAAAGAAACTAAACCAAAGCAAAATGTGTTCTAAATGAAAAACTCAACTGTTAGATGAATGCATATTTCATTATTGTCTTTTATAAACCCCAGACTAAAAAGCCTGTCAAATATGTGATTATGACATAGTAAACAATAAATGCTTATGGAATTTAATGCCATTTTCCCTAATAGTTTCTATCTTAGAATATAACATAGATCCCATATTTTTTTTCATCATTTAGTAGCCTTAAAAGAGATGTGGCTACATGACCTTCAGCTGAGTCTAGGGAAAATAGTGTTACACAGTTGAGACTTTATGAGTCAAAACTTGTAGTGAGAATGCAGGAGAGATATAAGACACTACTGTGCATCTTAAAAATCATTTTATGCAAACAATATTTAATATTGATCTTAAAAGCTGGGCAGTGGTGGCACACACCTTTAATCCCAGTACTCAGGCAGAGCCAGGCGGATCTCTGTGAGTTTGAGGCAAGACTGGTCTACAGAGCAAGATCCAGGACAGGCACCAAAACTACACGGAGAAACCCTGTCTTGAAAAACCAAAATATATATATTGATCTTAAATTTCATAAACTTCCAGAGTCAGGAGCAAGACAAATTCTTCAATTCTTAAACATCACTTAAATGGACTTTTCTATAATTCTTTTTTTCTAGTACTATTGGGTACCTCAATAAATTACTTACAATTGATTTTCTTATAAATTTGAATTTTTAAATAAACAATGGATTATTGTTATTTTGATACAGTCCTAGATATCACATTTATCGGTTTTATCCTAAAAATAACCCGATGTTCAACTGAAATTGAATACTTCATCCACTATTTTTGTAGAGTCTGGCAGCATCATAGTTCTGTTAATAAAATGAAAAAATAAAGGCCCTACATCATCTTATTATCAAGATTCAGAGAGAAGGCAGGACACTATATTTTATATCACTCTCCCAGACTTTTTCATCTCATGAAAATGAAGAACATTAACACATGTGAGACACATATAAGTCCTATAGTCCCCATGCTTTCTTCTCTTGCATTTGCACAGCCTCTGGCCTTCAAATATTATCAGTTTCTCCAACTAATAAGCTAAAAACTGCATATCTTAAAGCATCACCCAGGGAGAAAAATTACACAGCATTTGTAAAATCATTGTTCATAAAATTAATAGGTGATATAAAAATGACAGAAATTATTTATCATTTATCTTCTGTTCATTCTCATAAATAAAATGCAGGTTGTATACTTCTCCTGCAAAGAGCACACAGTTTTATCACAGAATACTTTAAAAAAAAATCTAGATTTTGTTATCAGACAAACACGACCTTGGATTATATTTCTATCACCTGGTAATTCTTTCTCTTTGGAACAGCTTTGAAATCTCTGTCCATTTCTTCAACTTCAATTTGGCTTAGTAATTTTCTTACTTCATAGAATTGTGAGGGAAAAAATGACAGTGCACGTGAACTACCTGTTAGTGGTATTGCACAACAAAACTACCCATGAAGATTTTTATCTTCCTTATTTATATTACCATTGACATGGAAATCATGTGGAAACACTCGTGTTCTACATTGTGTGGAAAGCTAGGTTTTTTGTATCTTGAACCAGACACTAACAGCTACCACCACACGTTCACCATGTCCAAGCTAGGTGCTGTGGATTAAAAAAAAAGAAAAAAGACAGTAGGTCATTCACTCCTGCAGAATGCGGAATGCCGTTTATTGAAAGAGGGAGGAAACCTTAAATACAGGCTTACAGCACAATGGAGGATCCCTGAGGGCAGAAGTTCACTACCAAATGTTCTACATTCTTGCATCTAAGCTGTTTACACCAAATGCAGGATACACAAACAAAGAACCTCTGGTGAGCATTCAGGAAGAAGGAAACTGGCAGGGAATCAGCATAGGGAGGACATCCGGTCAAGGTCCAAAAGCAAGGCAACAGCTACCCAAAATGGGGGGCCAGGGCCCTACACATTAGTGTAATATAATGTAACAACTTATTGTTGTACCTGTACATAAGAGCATCTCTCAGTTCTCATCAGAGAAGTCTCTACTTGTAGTAGATGGCAATTAACACAGAGACACACCCCACCACACACACACAACTTGTCAATATGCAGAGAACAAAAGACTGTGGAGTGATCAGCCCCAAATAGAACATTCCTATCACAACATTCTTCCCTAAGGCTCAGAGAATCTTCATGGAAAAGGGCTTGGAAAGATTGTAAAAGCATGAAGTGGTTGATAACATCAAGAAAACATTGTTTTCCAGACACACCAGGGAAGATGCACATATAAACCCACAGCAATTGTGATAGCATGCACAAGACCTTCACAAGTCCAGCAAAATAAAATCTCAGCCTAGAAGGGGGAAGCTGGACATGAAACACCACTGACTGAGGAACTCTTGGTACTTGATAGCTACTGAGAGAAGTCAGTTTTCTTTAACACTTCACCTTGATAGGCTGACCAGACACCAGGAAGAGACCAAGTCCCAAAACTAGGTAGGAAATATAAACTGGACTTGATGGGGAGAGAATAAAAAGAATCTCAATGTTGGATGGGAAGGGATGGGAGAGTGCAAAGGATGGTAAAGGGGGGGGGGGCCTGGAGTGAAGATGCTCAGAATATATTACATGAAATTCTCAAGGGATGAATAAAAAAAAAATCTTCCAAAAAGAAAAATAAAGGTACCTCTGTGTGTTTTGTTTTCTTAGTAACCAAATATGATCATTGTCTACCTAAATACTTATGTCTGTTACTCATTTGTTTTTAGAAATAATGAGATAATGTTGTAAAGGATTCAACCAGACAAGCACTGGTTGCTCAGGGACAGGAAGATGTAACTAATGATTTGGTTGGATACCCAGGAGCTCAACAGTTTCTGTATGAGAAACAGACTTTCCTTTTTGGTTGCTCAGAATCACACCCGAGAATTTTTTCTGTTTATTTTTTTGTTTTCAGATGACAACCCAAAGGAAGATGAGACCCCAGATGAGAAATCAGATAAAAATCCAGATGACTCCAGTAAAAAACCAGAGCCAGAGTTCCCCAAATTCTTAAGTCTCCTGGGTTCAGAGATCATTGAGAATGCAGTGGATTTCATCCTTCGCTCCATGTCCAGAGGATCGTAAGTACTGAAATAAACTTCGATCTTGCCAGCATCACTGTAGATAATGAGCACACTCATGAAATGGAACAAAAGCATTCCCTTTTCCTTGAAAAAAAACAAAATGTTTTCCTACCTTGTGGGGCGTTTACCCATCAACCCCACTGTTCCCCAGAGTTTTCTTGAGAGTGAGCAGCAGGAAATATTAGATAGAAGTATTTAGATTATGGAGATAAACAGATAGAAAATAAAGGACAGCCTCAAGAAGGCCTGGAACCTATTCCAATGGACCCTGACTGTCTCTGCCCCAGGGTATTTATAGAGACACCAAGGGGTGGATCAAAAAACCTTCCCTGGGCACAGCCAAGTGCAGATCATCTCAGACACCTGCACTCAGGCCCATGGTCCTAACCATCCTCTCTAACCTGCTGGGTAAAGCCATGAGGAACCTGAAAACAGGCTCCCACTCTACCTTAAGTTACATTTCACATATGAATGAATTGCCCTGAATTCTAGAGTGAGAGTGCTCCCTCCAGATCCTTCACACAGTATTTTAAAATCTCAGGGTCATAATAGAAAGGCAAAAGGATGCAGAACCAAGAAATGGAAAACAAGGCAAGGTCTCCCCTGGGGAGTCAGCCCAGCCTGGTAGACTAAGTCTAGGCAAGTCTAGTCCCCTCCTCCCTACACCAAGGCTGAGCAAAGTGTCCCAACATAGGCACCAGGCTCCAAAAAGGAGGTGGGAATGGGGATTGGGAGGAGGGTGGACCGGGGAATCCATGGCTGATATGTGAAATTAAGTTAATTATAAAATAAAAATATTTTTAAAAAAGAATTTGTACTGTATCAAGCTGATAATAGAAAAATAATAATAATAAAAGTAGTCATGTTCAGCATAAAAGAAATGGAAAACAAGCTGTGGTCTTGATAATGAATGTGATAAGTCCTGTGTTTGGTTTCTAGCTAGTTTGTGTAGCTCAAGAGGCCTGGCTGAAGTAGCTGATAACTCTCTTTAGACATAATGTGCAGAACTCTGAGGAGCAGTGCGTTGACTGCCATGGAAGATGACCCAGCCCAGTCTTTCTAATGTTCCCAGCCTGCTTCTTAATACCCCTTAGATCTGACATATTTTGGATTTGACATGACCTTTCCTTATTCTTCAGAGGTCTTTCAGTCTGCACCCCTGCAATTTACTGTTTTTAATTCGTTTTCATCTAGAAACCTAAACATAGTTTGACAGAACTCTGATTTATTACCTACCAGTTTCACAATACAGTGGATAATTATGTTTGAATTAATCTTCCTGCATTCCGTAGTATAGCCACCCAAAGGCAAGGCTAAGAATGTGGGTTTTAACAAGCTTTCTGGGTAATTCTGATATGAAAGGCACACATAACCAGGTGTTCAGCTACAGAGCAGGGCCCCAAAGTTCTACTGAACGTTGAAGTTCTGTTCATATTCTATTTAAACATGAATTCTCAGGTTTTCCTGGGAAAAGTATACACGGCTTCTTAAACTCAACCAACAACAAATGAAGAGCCATTTTTATAAAGGGGTTGTTGGTTCTCTTCTTGTAGACTTTGATATGCTTAAAATCTATGTTTTGTTGTATAGGATTCTGTATATGAGCCTTCTCCACACATTGTTAAAACTCAAAGATGATTCTATTTTATTGTTTCACTTCCTTTTGTGGAAGTTTTATTTTCATATGTTGCCTCCTCATGATTATTAATAGAAACAAGAAGAAAAGTTATAAGAAATAGTAAGTAAAACATTTGATATTTGTGCAAAATACAAAATAGCTAATAATGTCACCTACAAAGCATAGCAAAGCAAGGAGGCAAAATATTTACTTCTCCTTCACTAGGAAAGTCTCCTTATGCAAAATGTCAAACATGCCATTGTATTGCCCTGAAACTTTACTATCAGTTCCATTAAGGACTTAAGGTTCTGAGCTCAGAAATGTTAACTCTGTGCCTATACTTCTTATCATATTTAGAATAGATTCCTGCTTTGTGATACTAGAGTCTTTAATGAGGTCGGGCATGCTACCTTAGAGTTCCTTTCTGCCTGAAATTCTCTTTGTAGTTCTCACTGATTTCTCCTGTATCTCATCTTCAAGTTTCTCCTTAGAAAACAATTCTGTTATTCTTTTATTACTATTCTCTCCCTCCCTGCTCACTGTTCTCTGTCACTTTGCTTTGAGATGGTATAATATTACTTACTACAGTCTAAAATTATTTCTTTGTACTCATGTAGCTTAATGGAACACAGAAACCAGATAGGTCTATCTAGTACAATACAATATCATAGAATATTTCCCATGGTGTCAATCAGTAAATATTTATTCATTTGATGAAATAGTTAAGAAAAAAGGTCTTAGAGATTATACTTAAAACCCACCTATTTCAAATCAGCTATGGAAACTAAAGAGTCTTTGTTCAAAGACAAAATATTCCTTGTTCAAGCGATCAGATGTACTTGAGGATGGAGTCAGGATGCAAAACATATCACAGAGTTCCTATACAAAGGAAGAACACCACAGGTGTTAAGGAGGTGCTTCATAGGAGGAGGCTTCCAAAAAAGTCAGTTCTAGGGACTTAATATATAAAAAGATGGGATGAAAATTGTGAAGAACAAGATCTAGTCTATAAATTCCTTCTTAAAAAACCTTCAGTCTTTAAGGTTAGATAACAAGAGCTGACACAAAGACAACTATAGATGCCTAGCAAGGTAAATTCTATCTGAATATCAAAGATTACTTCCAGAGTAGGCAATGGGGAAAATGCCCATAGGGAAGTGTTTGGGGGAAATGTGAACTATAATTTAGACAGTTAGCAAAATTAGATAGTTAATAAATTTAGATATTTAATAAGAATAGATAAATATAGATTTGCATAAATTTCTCATGTCATCATCAAAAATAAAAAACCCACAAATTTGCTTATTCATTACCATTCCTGAAACTCTTCCATGAATTTCTATTGCCTACCCAGTGAAGCATAAGCCTAGGTTTACCGAGGTGGTGAAGGTCTATTCATGATGTCCTTGTCTTTCCTGTTAATTCCAGCATCCATCTCAGCAGACACCTAAGCCTGAACCACTGATAATATGTGTATGAACCCTCAATGTCTTTGCATAAGCCTTTTCTTTCTATCATTCTTTATTTATTCAACAAACTGAGTCACTTTCTAAAGCCCAATTCAAAAACCAAGCTTTGAGAAGAAGTTACAGACTCCTACAGTTACAAAATTCAGGATTTTTGTTTTGTTTTGTTTTGCAATTTGGAATTCACAATACTTTGTGTTGTGGATGCAAAGCGGCTGCTTTCATCTTCAAGGGAGTAAGGAACCATTTATCCTGGAGCCATTTGGAGTAACCACGGCCAGGAGCACAGACTGAGGTTACCCCAAATTCCATGTTCCAACGTGAAGGCAGATTTATAATTTTACAGAGCAGAAAATGTCATAAATCAAGGCAAGTTTAAAACGTTGATGTGTACATCACAGAGGCAGGTACACCGAGATGGGAGAATCTATTCTGTGGCTCAAGATGCTGTCTGATGACATTCTTAGCCTTTGGGTTGGTAGAAACTAGTGGTCTTCTAAATGAATAGATTCCAAAAGGATTTAGTATACTGTCACAAGATAATAGTTCACATACGGGGTGGGGGTGGGAGAGTGGGGGTGGGTAATAAGTAATGGCTGTTCTGGACGGCTAGAACTAGCTCAAGATAAAATAATTAGCCTCTGGAACGGTTAATATATTCCAATCTCTCCACACTACTGAAATTCTCATTAACCAGCAGTCTCTGCGGACACAGACTCCTCTCGGGAGTTTTCATTCACAGCCGATTGCAGCGTTTTGTCACGAGCTGTCATTCTCAATATGCATCTGTATGACAGTATCCCCACGTTTGTTTTAAAGACTGGTTCCTGAGTGTGTCCCTGTTCTCCATTAGATCACAGTCTGTCCAAAAATCATGCTTGCATCATCTTTCATCTTCTCAAAGACTACCCTGGTTTCCACCCAGCCTGTGGACTATAGGGGGCAGTATGCCTGGCATGTAATCATCACTCCAGAGAATTCACTTTTGAACTTTACAAAATCTATGAGCCATGTGTTGTGAAAATGTGGTTTCATCTTCTTTTTGTTGTTGTTGTTTTCACTTTTAAAAGAATTATAAAAATTAGTAAAACAAATACACTCAAATTCATACTGGATGTTAGGTCCCATTTTTAGTGCTAGCATAATACATATGTGTGTATGCATAGCTAACACACACATATATACACAGTTAGCACTATATATACATACATATATAAACACACACACACACACACACACACACACACACACACACACACACACACACACACAGTGTGCTCCTGCTAACAATCCCATAAGTCTGCATAGTGTGCTCCTATTAGCAATCCCTAAGTCTGCATAGTGTGCTCCTATTAGCAATCCCGTAAGTCTGCATAGTGTGCTCCTATTAGCAATCCCATAAGTCTGCATAGTGTGCTCCTATTAGCAATCCCGTAAGTCTGCATAGTGTGCTCAGGCTAACAATTCCGTAAGTCTGCAAAGCTCCTGATTTTTTTTTCTTCTCTTTTTCAAGAAGTTTTATGGAACTCGATGAGGACCTCGGACAGCCATCTTCAAAAGTGACCTCCTAAGGTGATTTTAACTTATACTTTATAGGTAAAATAATAGCATTTTGAGACAGAAAGCAGAGGTTTAGGTAACCATATTCATAGATTTTCGGGAACTCATGCATAGTTATAACCATTAGATAGGGCTTTTGGTTCCTTCTTTGTCCGAATTGTAGTTTGTTTCTAAAATTACGTTGAAATGTCTGTATTGTTATCATCTTACTTGTCAGCTTACCAGGAGGCTCTTAAGGGAGGAAGCCAAAAGTGGCATGAAAGAATTAACAATGGGGATGAAGAGGTCGGGTCCCTGCTACAGTTCTCCTAAGAACCTCCTGTTGGATTTTTGTCCCCTTGACAAACGTCTGACATGATCAGGTTATATAAAGAAATTATTTATTTTGGCTCTCAGTTTTCGAGGTTTCATCCTCCAATGCACTGGTGCCATTGGGCCAGTGGTGAGGGCCTCATTACAGCAGGAGGCTGTGAACCCTTCAGCTCATGGCCTGGAAGAGAAAGGGGGGCAAATCAGAGTCTTATAATCACCTTCTGGTCATAATCTCAAGGCTGCGGACTTTTCCCAACTCCCAATAGCACTGAGCTAGTGATCAAGTCTTTCACACCTGGGCCTTTGGGGGGGTATTACACATACAAACTCTAGCTTGCTTTGTACAAGCCCACCTGTAAAATAAGAGGGCCATGCACATTTAAAATAAAAAAAAAAAAAAGGACTCATGCAATCATAGAGTTAGTGTGTCGTGGCAAGAATGGAATATGCTGTGTTTAATCCATGGAAAAAGCACCAGCAATTTCTCTGTCACACACACAGATCTTGTTTATGTGCAAACCTTATGGTTTGAGTCCCCAGAACTCCCATTCTTTCTTTACTCAATTATCTCCCCAGAACTTAGGTTGGGATACAAAAACAAACACTTTAGAGATGGCAAACTTTATCAGTACCTGACTTGAAATGAGTTACTGCTCCATTTAAGCGCTGGATATATGCCTAATTTATAGTCTCTCTGAAGACAAACACCATTATCTTACATTTCACAAATGAAGAGATGAAGGCATGGGAAAAAAATGTTGATGGTCATATTAATTAGGAAGGAGGAAAAGACTGGAAATGAATCCCATGCCAGAATATGCGTCCTATAGCTAAGCCATATATCACTGCTAGAGAGCAGAAAATGGCACAGGAGGATGCAGCGGAGGGTAATGATTAAGCCATGATGCATGCTAAAATGAAACACTTCCCTCTTGGTTCGTTGATTTGCCTTATGTACACCTCCAGAAATCATGGCCTTTCCCAACTTCTGTTGTTATCTAAGCTGGGAAAGTTCCTTTTCTCTACTGGTTTCATTTCATAATTTAGGTGTGGCCAATGTGAGGTCAGAAAGCTACTCTTACATTACCCGAGAACATAGCCTACTCTTTCATGAGCTTTGATGGATGGAAATAAGGCTTGGGCATCATAATCAAGATATGCCTGACACACATAATCCCGACTCTTGCTCAAAGCTAGATAAGCTTCTAAAAGCACTCACTTGCATGTTCATGTTTCCATTTCCTCCTCAGGGAAGAACTTTCCTCTGTTTCAAGTGCCCAGTACTTTGTCTTCCTTCAAGCTGCTACAGTACATCTGGAATCATTTGTGCCCATATCCCAAATACTTGAGGGCCAACCTGGGCTTCGGTGTAGGAGTAATAATGTAGATGAGGCATTATGGAGGAGTCAAAAATCAGTTGGCATCATGATAATACAAGTTCAACCTGTACTGTGGACACCTGCTGTCTGTACCTCCATGGGTAGATAGGTGGCTTCATCTCCTGAAGCCTCATTTTCTTCCTTTTGAACTTGAAACACTAGAGGAATGAAATGGTTTCAGACTGTAATGCAATGATTTCTTTTTCAGTTACCCAAAAAATCTTGGAGAGATTTCTGAATGAACTCTAGATAACTTAATGACCCATGAGGAATTAAGTGATTCACAGCAATGTCTATATCTCCAGCTCAGAAAATTTGGCCAAATTAATATTTGTTTCTTAAATTAAGATTTATAGACTAATATATATGTGTGTATACACACATACACACACACACACACACACACACACACATATATATATATATATATATATATATATATATATATATATATATAAAATATCTTTAAAATGAGCTGGAGAAGTAGCTCAGCAATTTGAGTGTTTACTGCTCTTCAAAGGACTTGTTTGGTTCCCAGCTCCCATGTGGGGCCTCTCACAAGTGCCTGACTCCACCTCCAGGGCAGCCAAGAATTCTGGATTCCCTAAACACATGCAAGCACACACAGAGAGACATACGTATACAAATAAGTAATAATATAAATCTTTTGAAAAGATACACAATTAAAGGTAATTGACAGAGGATCAATAGGTTCCTATGTTTCTCTTAGTAATGTGTTTAGCACCATTTTTACACCATTTACCATCTTTATTACACACTCCTTTAAAGAGTATTTATTCTACTCCAATTAGGTGTTAAACTTTGTCAGTGTTACCATTAGGAAGCTCATCATCTGTGGGAGCACTGTGCTCAGTGTACCCTGAGCACGTGCATGTAAATGATAGGTACCTGTGGGAAGGCTTGGGGAATGTCTTGGGACAGGGCAACAAGGAACCCCTGGAGGAGGGGTGAGTATGACGAGGGCTTTACAGAGAAGGTGAACTGTCTACACCCAGTATCAGGGGATGGAGAGAGAGCAGTATAGAGATCAGAGAAGAATGATGCTCCAGCAATTGAACACCTGATTAATCTGAGATCCCCTCAACCTCGGCTCCTCCACACTGATGTGACTTCTGCTAGGCACAAGGTTTCCACAAACTTTTAACTCTTATTGCCCCACATTACTTGAAGCCACTTAGAATCAATTTGTCCCCTCTTATATCTTAAGTCATTGGACATAATTGTCTATAAACTGCCTTTTCTCAAAAACAAATGATAAACCTCATTAGATAATTAAGATCTGAAGAGACAAAGTAGTGGATGAGAATGTCCTTTACTAATTTTTAATTTTTATGCACATTACTTGGGTTAAGAAAAACACATATTTTGGATACACAAAGTCTTGTGCTTAGATTTACTATATCATACCTAAAAATAACTAAATTAAATGGAATGTTCCGATGCAACTAATTAAATTAACTAATTTAATTAATAATTAAAGTTGGGCACACTATCGCCTCTTCTCAGGTCAGCTTGCACTCCTCCAACCATAAGATGTATGTGATTGCTGTGTCTTTTCCATCTGCCTAGCATCCAGGTCACAGAGACAGTGATGTCTCTGTTCATCCTTAAGTTTATTCTGCATGCATCCCATCCTTACCCTTGGTGCTGAGTTTTTGCTTATCTATCTTGAGGGGTTTTTTGTTTGTTTGTTTCTGTTATTGTGCTTAATTATTTTCTCAAACCTGTTTGACAGTTGATTTTATCGTAAGTCCTCTCATGCTTTAACATGAGATGTAGAAAGTCGTCACTCTATTTGTAAAATTGGAATGTCAATTGCTCACTTCTCTCTATCTGTGTTTTGAAGGACACACCCATCTGGCAGCAGGACAAAGCAAGGACAGCCAGATCCTGAACATCCAGTTCTGTTTCCCAAAGTCGTCCAGAACCGAGACCTCAAGGCAGCTCCCAGCAAGTTACTGGGAACGTATCCCCATTTTCAGACAAATATAATTCGAGCTTTTTGACCTTTCATTCCTCTTTCCACAAAGCCAGGAAACGGCATCCTCTTAGAGTTATAGAATTACATACTTGACTTTACAGAGATTTTATTGTTCCTGGCAATTTTCCCTGGCATCTTCAATTTTGTAATGAAGCAAAAAAATGAGATTACATATTACATATACAAATGTACATTAGCAAATTCAAGGCTTCTTTATATATACAATATACATGTATGGGAACATATTCTAAAAGATAAAGTAACACATTTAACATTAAAATGCCAGTATGTAGTAAAAAGAGGATTTAATTCTTGCTCCAAAAACTAAGTTCTTAATTTCTAAACATATGTGAGGTTTCAGTATTTTACACATTTTTTTTTAAGTTTTCCATTCAAAATATCTGAGCCTCATGTCCTGTGTTCGTGAACTCAAAACTGATCTACTGGTCTCCCTCTTTTCATTCAAATGTCTGTTTCTCATCCGTGGTCATTGTTCTGCTAGAACAACAGAGTATTGAGAAGGGAAGAGTGCCAAGACTGATGAGTGCAGCCCCTTCCCACTACCACCTCAGTGCACAGGGCTGTCCTCAGCAGCCATCGCAGCCCACTTGACAGACACAATCTCCCAAAACTACCTAATACGTTCAGGAGGACAAGAGTGAAGTCATGGAGCAAGGCGACCAGGACAGGTCTAGCATACAAAGCCACTCTGTTTCCACTGTTCAGTCCACCAGATTTGCCCCTGAGTCCTGTCTTTCTCCAGCATTGCTGCTAATCCAGTCCCACCCTGAACGCAGCCATTGTATTTTCAATTACCAGTACTTGTCTGTCTTGCTGGTTTTGTTTATCAGTGGAAAATGAAAATCAATGTTGCATTTTACAGTGAATTGGGATAGCCCACTCTTTGCACATTTTGGAGAAAGATGTCATTTTTCAAATACCACACCCTTCCTAACCAAGTTACCTAAGATATCTATTAAACTCAGCATCTGACAGTTAGAATGGTTTCTATACCAATTGTGCTCTTAAAATCTCTTTCAGGGTTTTTTTTTTTGGGGGCGGGGGCAGGTGTTGTTTGTAGTACTGTGAATTAAACACAGTCTTTCACACTCTAGGCAAGTATTCTTCCAGTGTGTGTGTGTGTGTGTGTGTGTGTGTGTGTGTGTGTAAGAGAGAGAGACAGAGACAAGGAGGGAGGAAGGGGAGAAGGGAGGGAAGAGAGGGGGTATGGAGAACAAGAGCAAAGTGAGAGCGAGAGTACATATGCACCTTTGTGGGCACCAGGAGCATGGAGACCGTTGCATGGAGACCAGAAGAGAGTATGCATCAGTCTTCCCAATTTTTAACATTCTCTGCTTTAGTTCTTGGAGACAGGATGTCTCCTTGAGCCTGGAATTTGAGTGTTTTGGCTGCTTGACAATCAACAAGCCCATATGAACCTCATGTGTTTCCCTCCAAATGCTGGGGTTACAGGCCTGGGCAAGACCACACCCAGCTTGCTACTTGGGTGCTGGGCTACAAACTCAAGTCCTTACCATTGCACACCAAGCACTCCTAGCCACTGAGGTGTATCCTTAGCCCCCTTTAGACTTTAATTCACTAACTTGTACCTGTGCAGTAATTTTACTACAACAATCAATGCCATATCCATGCAAGCCACTCACTTCTGTCATCCATCTTGAAGTGACTCTTTCAGTGTAGGACTGGAAATGGGAACAGGTACCATGTCAACACTGAATGGGGAGTAGGGCTAAAGAAGTCTGGAAATTCTCAGTTCTTTGCAGAACATTTTCTCTTCTCTGCCTCTGGTGTTATCTACCCCACTCTCCAATGAGATCCACATATTCAGGCAGCAAATACACTCATTTTGAAAAACAAAGCTTTCCTTCATCTGAATAGTGCTTTCCTTTTATGATCTTGTGGCCTCACTGAAACTTCATAAACGCAGTGTGATTGAAGAGAGGTAAAGAGACTCCCTGTGCTCACCTGGGTTCAAGCACAGGATGCCAAAAAGCAGGAAGAGCGACTGAGTGAACACCAAAGTAGCACATGTAACTCCAAACATAGCATCTGTGACCTGGTGGGCATGGTTCACACCACTGCTATTCTGACCTCACCAGTTCCTGCCTTGACTCCACAGTTTGTGGGGATCGGCACTATGCCCTTCATGGAAGTGCTGGGCAGAGGAGGGCTTCTACTTAAATAGAATTCAAATTGTATCAGTCCTTTTGACCACTGCCCATCTTTTCTTCTGAGAAAAGGCTATGTTTTAGTTACCTCACGGTAGAGGTTAACCCCACCGGAGCTGCTCACCTGCCACCCCTTCTGCTATATCTCAACTTTTCATTTTTTTCTCTACAAGCATATTGAGGCAACCTTCAAGTATTTCTAGAATGCTCCTTTTCAGGTTTGGAATTTGCTTTTTCCCTTATTTAACATTTTCCCATACAGCATAGCCATGTATCTGTGCCTTCCTTTCATCAAATCCTTTCTCCAATATAACCTTCTCAGAAAGATAGCCATAGGTTCTTGGATTTAAAATCCCATCTCCTAGAGAGTATTTCCCATTTGGGATTATTCATTTCATTCCATCATGTCCATCTCTTAACATGATGTTTTAACTCAATTTATTTCATTTCTTCATTAGAACGTTGTATATTTATATTTATGAATATATGTGTATATATGCACACATACATGAATGTAACAATCTTTAATGAAAAAGGTCATGAATTTACAAGAAAGCAAGGATGGGTAGATGGGAGGTTTAGATGGAGGAAATTGGAGGGGAAATCATGTAAATACAATGTAATCTTAAAAAAAATAAAAATCATTTTTTAAAATAAAAGAAATAAATCTAAAAACATTTTTAAAATAAAAATTTAATCTCATGAGGTAGGAATTGTGATTACTTTGGTCAGTGTTCCTGGCCCAGTTGTGAGCAATAAAAACAGACTCTACTAGCAAATACTTCTCCAGTAACTACTTCTCACATCCATCATTAAGGAAAAAATGGAAACCATAGAAACTTTCCTTAAGGTGAATGCATTACGAGTGCAAAGCAAACATCACTTCAAGTTCAATGTTGCTTTCAAGTGGCTCAGTCTCCACACAAAGGCTAAGTAAGTATCTTACCAACCGGTCACACACAGCATGGTGTAATCATGAGGCCAGTCATGGCAATATGAGAGATGGAAGAGCATCCCTTATGCTCCCTGGAGAGATCTGGGAGGTCTTCTCAGAGGCAACAGTACTGGAGCCATATCCTGATAGAGAGGAAAGGAGAAAGAATGGCAATTCAGTTGGGGCCAGGCAGGTGAGTAGTTAGCCATGAGAGAAACAAGGAAACAGCAGCGTATTGGTGGCTGTGTCTCAGTCAGAGGGCCTGTTTGAAACTGACATCTTCCTATACATCAGAGAGCAAGCACTGAGGCAAATTCCAGTTGCCATACATATGCATTAATGGGGGATCTACATCTATTACCTTAAAAGAACCAGGTTTCATTACAGCATCATTTCCAATGTGATTTTGACTACCCCTTATGGAATTTTCCTGAGGGACATTGGTGGTACTTCATGGGTAAGTGCCCATTTTCAAAAGCTAGTGAATATTGTGAGAAAGACTTGGAGATACAGCCGATTCCTTATTGGCTCAAATTGACACTATAGTTAAATGGTAGATTAAATCTGTATCTCATGGTGCAAAAGTAATTTTATGTTTATTGGATCAAGATTGATGTATTATAACTATAAAAATTTGAAGTATACATTTGAGGAATTTCAATAAGTGTCTACACACAAAACTGTCATATAAGATACTGAACATATTCATTGTGCCTAAAAGTTTTCTTTTGTCACTTGTAATCCATTTGCTTTCGCTATAGATTGGCTTGCACTTTGTAGAGTCATTAGATTGATTTTAAAGTACTATATAGGCAATTCTGTCTTAGGCACTAAGACAACACTTGATAGCATCTTGGGCTTAGTTGGCTTATATGAGTCCTAGGCTACCTTGGGAAATCCAAATCCATTGTTAGCCCACCTCCAGATTCAGATAAAGTGAGAGGGAAGCCATCTATCTGGCTTTTCCTATTGTCAATATAGTTTGCTTGGCAACATGGGTGGAGAACGCATTAACCTAAATATAAATCACTAGAAACAAAATTAAGAATAATTCATCTCCTACAATTTCTTCAAAGTAAATATTTGGTAGAATAGCTAAAGTGTTGATCATTCAGAGTTTTATCATGTTATCCATTCATTAATAAATTTCATGGTGAGTGTTTTGATGCTTCATAGGCAATGGTGGATGCTATATTCTGCTCATTTTGAACTTCCCCAAAGTGGGAAACAAATCACATCCAATCATTTATGAATACAATGTTCTGTTTCAAAAGAAATGTTCAGAAAGGAAAAATAGTGATTCCTTTTTATAATCTATTACAATTGTATCTTGCCAGCACAAGTGACCAAGGATATAAAAGAAGTAATACTTGTGTTGATATGTGGAGGGTAAAAGAAAGAACTTGGCAGAATGGGACAAAACTCTCAAAGACAATGAAGAGGAGACATTTAAAGCTTAGTGTGTGACATTTGTAATAGTGCTACCATGCTCTGACCACAGAGGAAAGCCAAAGTAGCTGTAAGCGAGAATCCATAGAAGTCCAGGAGAAAAGTAATCTTACAGGATCTCACAGGGTATCCTAAAACTTTGCTTCCCAAACCTGAATCAGAGTGCTTAAGCAGTAGAATGAATGTGAACACTGTTTTACATTTTAAACCTCCGATAGGCTGATGAAGAGGCCAGAGGAACGTGAAAGCCTGACAGGAGCATTTGCAAGAGAGAAACAGACCAGGGCAAAACAGTGTCAGTGAAGAAGCAGTGATGTGGAGGAGTTCAAGAAAATAGGAGATAACTCCATGCAGATGTGGTGATGAGTCAGATGGGATCTGTCAGGGAGAGGGAAGTATCGATAAATGACTGACTTATGTCTCAGTATGTGTGGGAGGTAAAGGACGCTGGACACAAAACTACTCAAAGCTTTCCTAGGTTGTTAGAGAAAAAAGTGGCCATGATTCTGATACCCAACTCTTGTTTTCCACTCCTCTATCCATACAGTCTCTGTTCATGTTCACTGCATCTGCTCAAATGACTTCAGGCACACAGATGTGGCTTCATTTCTTTGAAGAAGCCATATTCTCTGCATTATGAGCATATTCATTCCCCTAGTAGCTTTCCAGAACATGTTTTGGCTAAGATGTCACAATGTAAGATCCTTAGATGAGTAGGTCATGTTAGTTAAACTTGTCACAGTATGTTCAGTATCAATAAAAAATATAGCAATGTCTATTTATTGAATAAAATACACAAATAAAATAACAAATAACTAATAATTATTACTTTTAGTAACACAACACAGTAGACAAGTTTACAACTGAATGAGCTACACATTTGGTTAGGGGCATTGCAAAGAGTGATCTTTGACATAAATATGAAACTAAGGAGCATCTATGTCTGTGTTATGAATAGACTTTAAAATACTGAAAAACTCTTGAAGAATTTGAAGTTTGACTTAGTTTACTGTAGAAAAATATCTTTCTTGTTGTATAGCTGATAGATTGAAATGGAATCTTTGGGAATAGAGAGCATTGAGAGATTAATACAGCATCCTGGTGGCACTATTAAGGTTTAAAAAGAGTAGTTAGTACAACAAAAAAATTGTAGGATTAACAGGAAAAATTATTATTGACAGAATTTACCTGATATCTAGAAGGGGATGTTGATAAAAGAAAATATTTAGCATAGTTCCAAACCTTCTGTCTGAGAAAGCCATGAGAATTATTCTTTTATTAAACTGAGACAGGAAATTAGAAAGAGGGTTATTTATTATTTTTTTAAAAAAAGAAATAGGATTCACAGAAAAATCACAACAAACTCCAGAAGCAAATGAACAAATAAAGCCTCTAATGTGTGTGGTTTTTAAATATCCTTGTCAACAGCTTTAAATTTTTTATTTAAAAAAATTTTTTACATACAACATATTTTAATCATATTGTCCCATCCCTCAACACCTCCCAAATCCTCCCCCATCTCTCTATGCACCCAATTCTGTGTTCTTTCTTTTCTCCAGACTCCAAAAAGAAACTAAAGAGATCAAAACAAATAAAGAAAACAAACAAAAAACCCAATAAGACAAAACATACCAAAACAAAACAAAACATACACACAAGAAACATACCAAACCAACAAAACAAACAAAAAACAAGCAATCAACCAAACAACAACAAAAACCTCAACAACATGGAGTCGATTTTTGTATTGGTGAACTACTCATGATCTTGTCTCCTGGGATCCTGGGCATGAAGGCTGTGTTGGAATGTGGTTCATATACCACAGATGCTCCACTGGTGAAAATTTATTTTCCCTTTCCCAGCATGAATCAATCATAAGAAGATTCTTGGTTAGGACTGGGACTTTGTGTTCACTTCATCTTCTCTATATTAGGATTTTTTTCTGGTTTGAATGCATGCCAGTCTTTTGCATGCTGTCACAGTTTCTGTGAGTTCCTAGGTGTGTCAGCCCTGTGTTTTGAAAGAGAGAAAGTTTAAATGCAGGCCTATTGAGGGGAACCTTAGAAGGATCATCTCTTGGTTGTCAGACAAGTAACTAAATCTCTTCTTAAAAAAAGAGATAAACACAATGATAGATTTCAAAGTTTAGAACAAGGAGAGTCTAGGCATACTAAGACTTCATACAAAATGAAATGAGAATACTCAAATTTAAAATCCTAGGAAAAAAATTTTTTGTGGGGAAAATCAGAAGATAAGGGCCATTTAAAGAAATTAGTGATCAAATAGAAGTAAAGTATATATAAAAGAAAAGATGAATAATAAATAGGGCACAAAACTTTAAATGTAATAGAATTGTGTCAGATAACAATTATCTTGAAGTGTGATTAAATGTTATATTGATGCATATGTGTATGATACTTTTACTTCTCATTGAGGAACTATGTACTGCTGTGGATATCACTCTATATAAATAAAACACTGATGGCCAGTAACCAGGCAGGAAGTATAGGCAGGACAAGGAGAGAGGAGAATTGGGGAAACAGGAAGAAGGGAGGAGAGACACTGCAGCCACCACCAGGATAAGCAGATGTAAAGACGCCGGTAAGCCACCAGCCATGTGGCAAGGTATAGATTTATAGAAATGGGTTAATTTAAGATATAAAAACAGTTATCAAGAAGCCTGCCACGGCCATACAGTTTATAAGTGATATAAGCGTCTGAGTGATTATTTTATACGTGGATTGTGGTACTGCGGGGCTTGGTGGAAGCTGGAGAGAAGCCCTCCAGCAACAATGTACTGTAGCTAGAGTTTTCCTGCCTTGCCCACAGTCAGGACAAATCTTTGTCACCCTCCAGTCCCACAGCCGCTCAGACCCAACCAAGTAAGCACGAGACTTATATTGCATACAAACTGTATGGCCATGGCATGCTTCTTGCTAACTGTTCTTATAGCTTAAATTATTCCATTTCCATAAATCTATACCTTGCCACATGGCTGGTGGCTTACCAGCGTCTTCACATACTGCTGGTCATGGCGGCAGCTGGCAGTGTCTCTGCCTCAGCCTTCTGCTTCCCAGTATTCTCCTCTCTCCTTGTCCCACCTACTTCCTGCCTGGCCACTGGCCAATCAGTGTTTTATTTATTGACCAATCAGTGCAACAGATTTGACATACAGACCATCCCACAGCAATGTACTATATCCCTTCCAAAGTATGCCAGTAGTGATCATTCATGACTAGCTTTGGACAATAAAAAGAATAGTTGGAAATGATATGTATCACCTTCAGGTAGAAGTTTTTGAAAACTAAGCATACTTTTAAATTTTCATCTACGTGTACTGTATTTAACATCATCCCCTGATCTTCCCTCTAACCTTCCCATATTCTCTTATCCACCCCCTCTTAAACTGATAATCTTTTCCCTCATTAAGAATCCAACCATGATTTCACCAGTTTGTTCTTCTCTGTAACTATTTTAGTCTAAATTGCTGGAGAAAGAATTGGATAATATGTGGTAGACTATTGTCAACCAAACTTGGTCATATACTGTGAGTCAAATGTTGTATATACACAACACTAGGATTTGAGGCTGCTTATTACTGCACCTAGAAACTAACCTGTTATTACATATTTGGATAAAATGAGAAAATGAGAAAATGAAACAGGAAGTTTCACCAGATGCAACTACAAATTGTCCTGACTTCATGATTTTTCTACTTTACAATAGTATAAAAGCATTCTGTAGAAATGACACTTCAAATTTTGAATTTGAGAGGTCAACATTAACAATAATATTCTCTCTGATCATCCTGGGAAATGGTGTCAAGCCACAGCTTTCATACAGCTACAAGGTGACAATGGTACATATTAGCATTCCACATTGTCCTGTGAGGCCAAGCTATAATGTTCAGTAGGCTGGGAATATTGAGTGCTCTTTTTGCTTACAATGGATGTATTGTGATATAAACCCATACTAAGTCAAGAAATAATCTGTACTTTTGTGCTTTAGTTAAAAAGAAAGAAAGAAAGAAAGGAAGGAAGGAAGGAAGGAAGGAAGGAAGGAAGGAAGGAAGGAAGGAAGGAAGGAAGGAAGGAAAAAAATAGTCAATAAATGGTAGAAAATCAAGATTTATTTTAGTATTTTATTAGTCAAAATCCAACCAGGAAATAGAAGTACTCTTATGTGCTTAGACTACATAAAACATAATGCAAGGAATTGATTCAGATGTTAGAATTGACTGAGTGATGATAGAAGAGCTTCAAATCATGTCAGTATTAGGAAGACAATCTAGAAACTGACAAGAGGAAAAGCCACAGTCACATCATGCTTGCTGGAGAATGAAAATGCATATGCAATCAGATCATCAGAGTTCAGAGACTGGAGTCTCCTGGCAAAATCTGGGCTCATTGCAGTCCTAACCATCAGAACCTAGAACCTTGGACACGGTGCTCTCACTTCCAGAGACTTCCATCAATGAGAAGCAAAGAGATCCACTCCCACAATAGGCTCCTCTTTCTTTGACTCCTGTCAACTGTCTGTGTCTCTCAATGTCCACTGACCTATGACCCACAGAAACTCTGTGGCAATCAACATGCTATTTTCTCTCTTCCTTCAACAGAAACCAGAATAGAGGAAGGACAAAGAAATATGTCTGATGGAAAATGTTTCTAAGACTGTGATAGGCCCAATTAATGCAAAAAGAGTAACACTCTCCATAGGGACAAACTTGATTTTTCATGAAGGTCTGCTAGCACTAAAGGGGTTCAGTTATATGTTTTGTGTGGTTGTGACTGGAGTACACATATAAAAATGATATTAATGAGATTAGGCATTTGAACAAAAACCAGATCATTAAGAGCCCTGTGTGTCATGCACAGAAGGTTGAAATCTATCCTGCAGGGGATCATAACATAAGCAAAAATTCTGTCATGGAAAGGTAAGTTCAACATTGTTGAAGATGCTAGATTTAGCAGAAGAAGTAGATAATTTATAAATGCTTTGCCCAAGGATTCTGTAGTAAAGACTTGACTTGAGAGAAGACACATTAAAGCTATTAAATGGTCTTAATGTAGTCACAAACTTGGTAGAAATTAGCATCATGGGGTTGCAATGATATCAGCATGGTCTTTGTCTTATTAAACATTACTTGATCTTCTTTTTCATTTTTAAATGCAACTTTTTTAATGGGAGAATAGGAAGTTGATGAATCTAGAAACACCAGTAGATAAAGAATGGCAGGGAATAGAGATATTTGACACACAGAAAAGAGAAAGTAATGAGTATATCCTTCACATGCTAGACTATCTGTCGAATAACAGAGTCTCTAGAGACTGTGGCCCAGGAAGAAAACTGTCTAGTTAGGTTCCAGAATGAACACAGGCTGAGCCCCAGATCTTTTCATTGCTTTATTCATTCTTTTCTAGACTCAGTACGCTTTAGGACATTCAGTCTCCAAATGGTAGAATGAGATTCGGCCAGCCAGGATGTGCACATCCTTCTCTTTCCACTCCCACCTTCACTTTCTTTATGCAGATGTTACACTAGGTGTGATAAGGCCTCCTGGAAAATAGAAGCACAAAGATAAAGATGCCAGGCCTAACTTACATGTAATTAGCAAGTTTCAAAAATATTCACTTTCACTCTCCTATTTGACAATGTTTTGCTAATGTTGAAGCAAAGACTCAATGTGCCCTATCAAGGATTTTAAAGCTGTGCAGTTAGGTGAAGTCACACCTTGCACTGTTCAAATGTTCATTGTATAAATGCAGATATTTTGCTTCTTGGAGTCACTGGGATATTATACACATATTTCATGAGTATAATCAATGAAGAAGAAATAATATACTTATAAACAATGAGAGGGCATTCAGGTAGCTAAGGCTTCTCCCATGGAAACAAGACCTCCCCCACCCAAGTTGTGATTACCAGAAGCTTCTTCACAGCCTCTGAAGCCTCTGGTCCCAGTTCATCCACACATTTCTTCAGCCCTGCCACCAGATGTTCTACAGAGATTCCCAGAGTTTTCAGAAGCATCTTCAAAGGATCAAATAAGGGAAGAACGTTGTCCAAAGGTAAAGGTAGGTTTTTAACAGGAAGAGGGACACTGTTGATGAGGAAGGCAGTGGCTGCAGAGCAAAAGAGAACAGATTGAAACACGGTACCCCATCCCTGTCTAAGACCCCATTTCTTTCATCTCTGCCCATTGCAATCTCTAACCTCCATCCATTCATTTGGATTTCCCATGAATATCTATGCCTTTGGGAGTTTGCATGTGGCAATCCATCTCCCTAGAACTTTCTCTCTCCTGGTAACTGTAGTCCTTTTTTCCTCTTGTGGTCTGGTTTCTTTTTACATGTTACCCTGTACAGAAGCCTATAGCAGCCACTATATTTGAACGTCATCTTCTGTTACTCTTTTCTATTATGTATGTGTTATTTTACCACCTTCATCCTCTTATTGGAATAGAAACTTCATGAGAGTAATGTATTTACTTTTGTTGCTGTGCCTGATGCTCAGAACTGACTATGGCATGTAGTAAGAAAAAGTGCTGAAAATGAATTCAGTAAATATTAATGGGTCATATTGAATAAGAAAGTACTTTGTATATAGGCTGTCCGTAGCCACAGCCTTCCAGCCAAAGGAGAGGTGCCATAAAGCTTCTCCATTCAAGGCCAAGCATAGATGCAATATGATATGTCCATGAAATCAGTTCAGTTCAGTGTAACACCATAATTGCCACCAGTTAGATTAGGAGCAATTCTCAGACTAAGGAGAGAGAAAACATTTAGACACAAAATCAATAAATCATTGGGATGTTAAAATGAATATATATACATATATATGCACACACACATATATATGTATGTGTGCATGTATGTGTCTATACACACACAAGATCAATAAATCATTGGGATGCTAAAATGAATACACACACACACACACACACACACACACACACACACACACACACTCACACACATTTAGTCTGGCCATCTATTCAGAGAGGAAGACCAGAGTGCAGAATTTCAGTGGGTATGCTCAATAGGTAGACGATAGGATGGTGCTGTAAAAATTCATTAAAATCAAGTTTTTAAAAGCCTTCAATGCCATACCCATAATTATGGAACTTTTTCCAGAGGATAGTAGGGAGTTATCAAAGTTTTTTCATGGGGCAATTGCATTTTACATCTTTGGTTTAAGTCACTAGTAATAGGAAGCAGCAGGGAGGATGAAGGATAAGAAGAAATCAGAAAGGACATTTAGAGGCTGAACAAGGTACTTATAGAAGGAACAGGTAGAGATACGGGAAGCTGCCCATGATTAGTTCATGATGTATGAATATGTGCACATATCATGTAAAGCCTATTAATTTGTACAATTGACAAGTTAATAATTACAATTTAAAATAATGGTTTTTAATTTTCCTGCTTAAAAAGGAGGTAAATTACTTAGCATAGAAAATAAACAGAATAGAAAAATATGTGATGTACTTTATTTATTTTTTGGAAAACCAGTGCAGATACATAAATACATGTGTGCATGCGGGTATTCACATAAAAATCTATACCTTAGTAGCTAAGACTTTCCATAGTTCATTTTTTTCTTTGAAAAACGTCTTGATTCCTGATTCAAAGCATGAAACTGAGCCTGTCCCACACCCTGCCTCCATCTTCTATCACTTATTTTTCCTCTCAAACATTCTTCGCATAGGGTGCTAGTTATTTTAATCCATGCTGCTTTCCGCTGCCATATTTGTCTACAAAACTTTCTTTGCACACCAAGGGACAATGAAACATTCACAACTGTCCAAATTTCTCAAAAAAAATACAAAGAATGATCTTAGATCAGGATCTTAATTGCAAGTAGCACTCAGCATCTCATGGTTAATCCTCATACCATTCACATTAAAGTTTTCCATGAGTTTCTGTATCTTTCTGGGGGACATTCTTTGAATTTTTTACCCTTGGTGAACAACGACTACCAAGAAGAATTTTTCTCAGGGATCCAAACATCTCATTCTGTTAGTTACAGTGGTTCCCTCTAAAAGGAGTGGCTCAGACCTCTAAGAAGCCAGCTTCTGTACCTTATTAGAAAATTAAACACTTCAGGTTTCAGTACATCCACTGAACTCTGCCTGTATTGCCTGAATTGTGCAGTGCAATAATCTCTGCAGAAGTTTCATCCCATGCCCAACTGTAAGAACTTTTGCAACAGTTTTTATAGCCAACAAATGAAATTGTTTCAAGGGAATCCGCCTAGCAGTCTGACTAATTGGAGATAAGAGCAAGAATAACTTCAAAACACTGTTAAAAAATTAAGGGAAACTGTGATGTCCATTGTCCAACAGGAGAATGGGCTTTGTGGACCCTCAGTAGGAGCTGGCTAATTTACTATGAATTGAAGATCGTCCTTACATTGGGTTAGCTTGCCTGATGGAGGATCCCCACTATCTTCTAACAGTTACCAACATTTTCTGTGACTCTGAAATTTCTTTTATCGTGCTTCACTGCCGGTATGCCAGGCCTAGTTGTGTTATTACAATAGAAACAGAAAGGTAAAGAACTATTGATGCTCCAGATGGTGACTTACCAGTATAACCACAAATGCTGATGATCACCAGCAGAAAGATGGATATCACCTTCATAGCTGCTGTCTGTGATGGTTTCCTGGACTTTGAACAATCGGAAAGCCCAATGAATCCACAGGGATGTCTGCTTTGCCACACATGCACTAATATATGCACCGAAGACCTGAATTTCAACCATTGTCTTTTGACTCACCCCACAAAGAAGAGCATGAAGGGCATGCTTCCTAACCAAACACAGTGGAGGGCTTTCCACTTTTCATCACATTCTCAGGAGGACCAAAGCCACACACGGAAGTAGTCTCAAGTAGTTCTTTCCCAAGCCCTCACATGGAAACGATGGCAGACTGCAAAGAATTCTTCACCTGGAAGAACACTTAAGAAGAAGAGAAGGCTTTATGTCAGGATAAAGGCATATTTTCCTCCAGTTTGTTCTCTATTTATTTAAAGTTTAGAGAATTGCATTACCTGCTAGGCTTCCTCGATTTAGCTTAATGACATTGCCATGTATCTCTTGAATGTACCCACTGATCAATATTACATACTGACTATGACAAGGTCACCAGATCTCTGTTATCTTTCCTAGTGTCCTCCAGTAATCAAAGGACAATTCAGGGTATGTTTATCTATCATCATCTAATACATATCTGTGTCATCTATAACATCTTGTACATTCTGAGAATCAATCTACATTCTGAGAACCAATCCATTTCCAAGGCTATCCTCCCAGAATCCAGGGCTCAGCCATGGGACATCAGAATGACCACATCAGTAAACAACATTTACTGGAGTTTGTTAGGGGCATTGGCTAAGCCCTGAATACAAAAAAAACAGGTCATAAGAGAACATTCAATAGGAGAAACAGGACAGAGTTCATGTGGTTCCTGGAATGAGCTGAGAACCCATTGGTCATGTTTTGCTGCCTATTTCCAGTACCAGAAAATGCGAAGAAGACATGTGTTGTCAGTCCCTTAATATGTGAGATCAAACTTGCCCTAACTTCCCCCCAAATGAAGGTATGGTATTACTATGAAGACTTCATAAATAGTACAAAGACATATGTGTGCCAAATAAAAATTAATATGTAGGTCATTGTTAAGTTGTACTGTTTTACTGCTGTAAATTTCAGCTACTTGATAAACTAAGTGAAAAGACTACAGATGGCTTCTGTGCAAAGTGAGTACTGCTTTCTCTATGTGCTGCCTCTAGTTCTCAGACATATTGATACCTATATTAATAACAATAATATATGGGTGGCTACGCTGCCTCCCATAAGTTTTATGTCATCATTTCTTTTGGCATACTAAACATCCACTATCTTATACCAGGGCTGCCATGCTGCCATGCCTAGTGTGATTTAAAAATCATCTTAATAGTGGTTTCTAGAGTTTCCCTCTCTGATTCAGGAGACATGCTGGCAGACACTGTGCTTTCTCCATGCCTCAAGCTCCTTCCCGCCAAGGCTTCACCTGTGCTTCTAATGTTCTGAACTCTTATGTGAATTGCCTTTTTATTCCATATTTCTGTTATTTAAGACATGTAGAATCCCTGCTGACCCTGAAGACAATGGCTTCACTCAAATTCCTAATTCCTAGAGGTTAGGAGCAACTCAACTGTGAGTTCATTTTTTTTTTCATGTGCAAAACAAACAATTCAGAGTCCAAACATTTCCCCTGGGCAAGATCTCTGTTTGTCAAGACACTCTGAATCTCTGTTTCCCCTGTCCTTATCACTGCAGTCATGTACTAGCTGACTAAAGACAGTTCAGTAGGACTGGAGCTCATTGAAACTGTTCAAACTAGTCATTCTTTAGTTCATAATTATTCTTATCATTTCCCTTGGAAACAGCAATAAGAGCTCTTGGCCACATTTTACCTACTCATCTCTCTCCCCAGGATCTCGTTGCTCCTGTGAATTCCTAGGCCCTCTGCCATGCCATGTTGCTGTACCAAATACCAAATTCTGTTTACACTGCCGGTCATCTCCTGATGTGCTGGTAAGAATATTTATAAAATAAAATCTTTTTTTTTAATTTGTTCTTTGAGAATTCTCAAACCCTTTCTTGCACGTTTGTTCTGACACTGCCAACTTTGCAAAGCTTTCTTTGCATCATGAAGTCTTCTTTCTAAGGTTTAGTTGGGAGTATCTTGAGAAGGTTGTTTCCTCATTTTGGATCCCAGTACAGAGCCCAGCAAAGTTTGTAATTATGAGGAGTCTCGGTGCCAGATCCCATGTGCAATCATTTCAGTCTTATAATATACCCTCTATTGATAAGTTTTCATTGCATTTTTAAACAAATGACATGAAGCCAGAAGCACTGAGTTAATTGATGGGATCACTTAATCAAAGATGGGATTCACATTATCACCTCAATAGATACAGGTAAGTGTTTGACAAATTCCAGCATTCCTTCTTGGTAAAAGCCCTGAAGAAACTAGGAATAGAAAACAAGTGTCCCAACATAATAAAAGGCTATATCCTATCAACCTTCAACCAACATCACACTGAATGGGGAAAAACTCATTGAATTTCCATTACAATCAAGAAGGGGACAAGGGCCGGGTGGCGGTGGTGCACGCCTTTAATCCCAGCACTGGGGAGGCAGAGCCAGGTGGATCCCTATGAGTTCGAGGCCAGTCTGGTCTACAGAGCAAGATCCAGGACAGCCACCAAAACTACACAGAGAAACCCTGTCCAAAAAAAAGAAGGGGACAAGGGCTCCTACTTGCTCTACTTTTATTCAACATGGTCGTAGAAGTATTAGCTAGAGCAATAAGACAAGAGAAAGAGAAGGTGTACAAACAGAAAAAGTAGAAGGCTAACCCTTATTTGCAAATGATATAACCCTGTACATACAACATTATAAAGATTCTACCAGAAAGTTCTAACAAAAAACACTTTCAGCAAAGTAGTAGACTACAAATTCAACAACTAAAGATCAGTAGCTTTTCTATATACCAATAGCAAATATGTTGATAAAGAAATCACAAAACCAGTGACATTCACGGTGGCTTCAAACAATCTTAAATACCTAAGAGTAAGTCTAACCAAGGAACTTAATGACTTCTCTGACAAAAATGATAACACACTGAAGATAAATAAAAGACACCAGACTTCCTGGACCCATGAGTTAGCTGAATTAATAGAGTGAAATACCTGTATTACTGAAAGTGATCTACAGACCAAATACAATTAAATTTCATTAAAATTTCAATGACTTTTGTTTGTACCTGCAAACTCATGAATAAAAGCTCTATGAATTTAAACAAAAAAATTTTTTTTCAATGGCTGGGACCCACCTAGGCCCTCTGAATGCAGGTAATAGTTATGTGGCTTGGAACAGATGTTACAGCCACATTGCCCTCATCTTTAGGTAAGGACTTTCTTAAAATGACTCTAATCACTCGGGAAGTATGACAAATGAGATTATTCTATGAAATTAAAAAACTTCTGCATAGTATGAAAAACATACAAAAACCAAGGTAAGAATAAGTCCAGGCTGGCGGGCTGACCAGCCCTGCAGCTACCCAGACCCAGAGCCAGGGTTGTGTGTTGGCCCACCCCAACATCCACCTCAACTTTAATCTGCTGGAATGAGGGGCAGGAGGATCAGTCCTGAGGATTCCAGGGCAGGAACTCCAAGACACAGGGAAGCATCAGGATGTCTGGGTGGGTGGGGGATGGGGGTGCAAGAAGTCCCAGTGAGGGCCCAGTGTCAATGTTGTGTCAGAGATCAGGGGCCTCAAACCAGACCAATGATTCTTTGGGATGAATGCCTGCATGTAAAAATCTATGGATAAAGGGCTTTACTCCATGGCTCACTGTATTATACTGCAACTTCCATGAGGAGATTTTCCCTTTCTTCCTTTTTTTCTCTTTAATTTTATTTTGTTTTACTTGGGTGGAGGAGGAGATGGGTGGGATCGGGAGGCATAATATGAAAGATACAAAGAAATAAAAAGAAAGTTAAAATAATTAAGTCTATAGAATGAGGGAAAGTCATTACTAGCAGTTCTAAGAGAGAAGTAATATCCAGAATAAACAATGGACTCAAAAACACTAGATGCCAGAAAGCTGACCAACCCATTCAATAAATGAGCTAGTGAAACAAATAGAGTGTGTAAGAGATGAAATACAAATCGTCAAGAGATTCATTTTTAAATATTCAACATCTTTAAATACTAAAGAAAAAAAATTAAACCATAGTGACATTCTATCTCACACTGGCCAGAAGTCCTATGGAAAAAAATTGCAAAATGCTATTGAGAAGGTAAATTAGTCTAACCACTATGGAAATGAATGTGAAGATTTCTCAAAATAGCAAAAATAGAACTACCACTGAACCCAGTTATACCACTTCTGGTTAAGTACAAATGACTCCAAGTCAACATATCACAGAGATATTAAAGCATCAATGTTTACTGCAGCACTGTTCACAATATGTGAGTCATAGGACCAGTCTAAATGTCTATCAACAGATAGATAAAGAAAACGTGCTGTTGATATACAATGGAATTTTATTCCTCCATGAAACAATAAAATGATGTCATTGGCTATAAAATTGATGAAACTGGAGATTGTCATATTAAGTGAAATAAGCCAATCTCAGAAAGACAAGTATGTTTTCTGTAATTTGTGGATCTGGAGAATTGACATATTATGTGAATACATGTTGGGGGAAATACATGTGAAGACCAGAGGACAACCCCAGACACCACTACTCAGATGTGATCCACCTTGCTTTTTGAGACAGCGTATCTCATTGGCTAGGCTTCCTGGCTAGTGAGCCTCTGGAATCTATATTTGGTTTTTAAGGGAACATAATGCCATGAATGCCTATAAACAGCATGAAAATAGAAGGGAAATTAGGAGGAGAAGGTTAGGTAGAGAGGGGAAATGAGGGTAAAGAAGACAACATAGCCAAAATATGTTACACATATGAAAGAAGTTGTCTTTATGAAACCCTATACTGTATACAGTGACAATATGCCAATAAATAAATTATAAAAATCAAACCGCATCCAGAATTTAAGGTCTTTCTATTCTTGTTTGCATTTTGC